TTGTCTTTCACTCACATGCTACTATTTCCCTTTCAGGTGGATGGAAAAACAATAAAGGCACAGATCTGGGATACTGCAGGCCAAGAGCGGTATCGAGCCATCACTTCAGCTTACTATAGGGGTGCTGTGGGTGCTTTACTGGTATATGATATTGCCAAGCTACTCACTTACACTAATGTAGAACGTTGGCTGAAAGAGCTCAGAGATCATGCAGATCAGAATATTGTCATCATGCTTGTAGGTAAGTTGTATGTTGTCACACTGTGTACTATCTGGGTAGTCTTGGACTGGGGCATTAGAAGTTATGTTTAAAAGATTTCAGGGATTCCTCTATCAAGAGGGACTTCAATGTGAGGTTCTTTTCAATATTTTGATGAAGGTGAGGCAGATCAAAGGATGAAAATATAGTGTTTAGATATATATTTAGCAATGAAGAGGAAGCTTGCTTTCTGAAACGTTGTTTTTCCTACTTTTTTTTTGGAATTAAGTAGTCTGAAAATTACAAAGAACCATTGAAGTGGTTTACTTCTTACATGCACTTGGCACTTTGATATTAGGTTTTTGTGTCTCAAAAAATTGACATTTTTGGAAAGATAATATCAGGGAGAAGGAAGATCATTTCAAAACCTAACAGTAAAAGTGTGAGTGTTTTATTTTCTAATGGGAATGGTGATAACATTCTTTTCATCACACTTAACAACTTGTATCCGGTTGCAGGTAACAAATCTGACTTGCGTCACCTGCGGTCAGTTCCCACAGAAGAGGCCAAGGCATTTGCAGAAAAGGAGGGACTGTCCTTCATTGAGACCTCGGCTCTTGACTCCACTAATGTAGAGACGGCCTTCCATAACATTCTTACAGGTAGGTGTACAGGACGGTAGGAGAGTGACGTACTGTCTTGGTTACCGGGTACGATTTCCCATAACATGTGAATGTTATTTTGAGTGTATTTTGTAGTTTTTGGATTGATATAACAGTTATGCATCTTTTTTTTTATCCTAACATTGTTACAGTTATTAATGTTATTCATTTTTATTTGTTTACTACTTTTTTAAGGAGATATTTGCTGAGTTTGCTTAATGAGTTTTGCATTTGTACTGTTTTCTGTCCTAATTTTTTTATAACTCATTTTAGAAGAGTATGGACTAGTTTTTTGAATGATTTGACCTAGCAGTCTTGAATGATATTTTTTAAGTGAGACATGAATGCTTCGTTTAGCATTTACAGAAAGGCTGGAGATGCATTTTGATGAATTTAGGGAATAAGTTTTAGCAAAGGAAAGCTGTAGTTCTTGATAATTACCCTTGGAGACTTGTGTTATTAGCCATAGACAAAAGCAGCTGTTATTTTTATTAACAAAAAAACACAATGCTGTGGTCATGTGAGGTGTTTCATGGCCATGACATGACACTACATAGAACAATAGTTATGAGCTGTTTAATCTAGATCAGTATGTTGCAGACAATTTGGCAATATGATTTTACTATATTTTGAGTTTGTTTTTTCTTTCTTTCTTTTTGTATTGGTTGACATTTGTTTACATATTTCCTACTTATTTGCCTTTTTATTTATTTTTTTCCTGTTTTTATTTAAAGAAAAATATAACAGCTATGTTTCCATGAAGTATAAGAATTAACCATACTATGTATTAGTACCTTTCCATTGAACTTTAGCAAACTTTACTTGCTTCACAATCAAATATATATCACATTTATTAAAAGAAAAAAAAATCCTGCAGTACATGTGTCTTAAGTAATATTCAAATTCCTTTTGCAGGATTAAAATAGGGATGATATTTTAAATCACTCCAGTGCATGTTACAAAGATTTTGGCAGATGATCTTGTAAAACTGTCCTGCAGATATTACTGCGTGTAAATTGCTTATAATGATTATGAATGTTAGATGTCTTTCACTGAGCAGTATAGCCAAATCTATGCTACAAATGTTAAGTCATTCATGAACTTAAAAGTTTCAATATCCTTAAACAGTGATGACAAGGTTGTTCATTAACATATTTATGTAGAATTGATATGAATAAGGGATGAATAGATAAATAGATGAAAAGATTTAGGATATGACTACTATGCTTTTTTTCCATAAATGGTTGTACTTCAACATTTCCATCACCTCCTCTATCTTCTCATCCTAATCCTCGCAATCTTCCTCCTTCTCATTTCCCTCCCACTCCTAATCCTCATTCCCCGTCCTCTCCCATCCCATCCCATCCCTCCCCCCTCATTCATACTCCCCTATATTCCTCCTGCTGCTGTTGCTGCCTCCTCCCCCATCCCCCTCCCCATCCATCTTCCCTCCTCTACTCCTCTCCACCCATCCCCTCTCATTCCTCCCTCCTCCTCCCCTCCTCCCCCTATCCTCCCCTCCTCATCCTCTCTCTCGCCTCCTCCTCTCCTCCCCTTCATACCCTCCTACCTCCTCCTGTCCTCCCTCCTCCTCCCCTTGTCCTCTCTCCTTCTCCCCTTCTCCTCCTCCTCCTCCTCCTCCATCCTCCTCCTCCTCCTCCTCCTCCTCCCCTTTCCTCCTCCTCCTCCTCCCCTCTTCCTCCTCCCCCTTCATCCTCATCCTCCTCCTTCTCCTCCTTCCTCCTCTTCTCCTCTTCATCTTTCCATCCTCCTCCTCCCCCTTCCTCTTACTTCCTCCTCCCCTTCCCCTTCCCCTTCCTCCTCCTCCTCCCCCTCTCATTTCTTATACTCCATTACTCCTCATATTCCTTCCCTCCTCCCTCCTCCTTCCTTTCCTTTTTCCTTCCATTTAGATATTTGTGCCCTCCATCTCTTAAATTACATGACTTGAACTTGTCTTGGAGAAGAATTGTGTCCTCTTCAGTTCTCTTCAGATGATTTGAGCTTCCTTTAAGAAAAATGGGGAAATGGTAGCTATAACCAGTGCATTCAGGGAGATCAAGCTCAAAAGTTGATGAGGGGATTTTCTGTTAGGACATAATATTATTTATTCTTGTATGACATACATGTTCTCTTCAGAACTATGGTTGTGTTGACATTTTCTTTCTCTCTCTCTTTTTTTTTGTTTGCTTGAAATTTTATAGGTTTCACTTATTATTGATGGTTTTCTTATTTATACTGCTGTTTTTATTGTTCCTTTTTAATGTTTTTGTATGTTTTTTATTGTCAGTTTGATTAATGTTATTGTTACTATATTTTTCTAACATTAGGTAGGTCATAGCATTTGCCAATACCAGTTAGCATTTTCCAAATAGTCAAGTCGAGCAGGAATGCTAACTTTTTTGAACTTTGAATATTCAGTACAGTGTCAGTGTAACAAAGGGTGATTGTATGAAGATTATTATGATATGAAATAATGGTTAAATACTTTGCCACGTTTTCAATGCGCTTTGCTACTACTTGCCAACCCAGATTTGAAAGCTGCAGTATGACTGGTCTGTTTGAAATTGTACAGCAAATCTTGATGAAATTCTTACTGATCCAATAACAAAATTTGTATGAGTATGATGGTAGTTTACAAAAAAGTTTCTGAAGATGTTAATGAAAATTGCTGAACATTCCAGCTCACATCATCCCTCAAGCAAATGGTCTACCAAGTTATTGGACATTTTTGTTATGTACATCATAATGAATGTAGTACAAATGAATGATGTTCCTAGAAAGGCTAAGAAAAAATTAAAAACCAGATTAGCATCAAGTTGTACGTTAATTTCATGTCTTGCTCCATTTTTCTAAGGAAAAAGTATTAGACCTAACACTGCTGTTCTGATTATAGATTGCATTTACAATTTTAAATCTTTTGAATATGTGTTTGTCATTAAACCATGAGGACCTGCTGGTATCTGCCTCTGAAGATGAAGTCTATCTGGTATCTAATAATAATCATCATCAGAACATTCATGTAGCCCATATTTCTAATGCCAAAATCAAAGTTGGTCCCACAGCCAAATGTGATGTTGGGGACATGTTCATAGAGGAGCATGTTTACTAAACTGTGGGATGATGTGGTATGGAGGCTACTTCCTCTCTGCTCCAACTTTGATCCCAGCATGTAGCCGGTACTCACTCGCAGCTGAATTGATGGAAACTGGCTGTTCAGACACAACCCCATGAACTTGGGGTTACAAAGCCTGTGCTCTACCATTGAGATGTGCCACCATATTTCTATGATATGCACTTTATAATCAGTTAAAATTAGTAGTTTCTCCTGTTTCTTACTAGTTGATGATATACTGATATACTTTAACTGAGATATGAGCAAGATGCTTTAATGTATTTCTGAATTGCAAGATTTCTGTCAAATGTCCAGAATTTTTTGCTTCATGCCATCTACCAATCTTTTTTTGAAATATTTATATACCCTTTATATGCATGTACTGGACTACACATTATTGTCCTTGAAAAAAAGTTAAAAATATATTGTATGTGATGAGATGCACTTTTTTAAATCAAAATGATAGCTTTCAAAAACAGGAGTGCAATTATACAAGTGTATCTTGCAGGTAGCATTTGCTTTTCACATCAGCAACTTTCTGTGCCATTACAATTAACTATGGCAGACAAATGCGGAGAGTTATCTTTATATTACCTTAGATAAAAACATCTAAGAGTGAGCATTATTTTCTTTTCTAGTTTACCAAAAAAATGCCATCCTTAGGATTTAGCTTCACTGAAGCTTACACTGCTGAAGTTGCTAAGCTCATAAGTTTGCCTTAGGAAATGTCAGTTATTGAAAATGATTAATAACAAAATGTTATCTAGTTGTACAAGTTTCATGAAATAAGAGCCAGTTACTTCATACACACTTTATACAAAAGAAAAAGAAAAAAAATACTTTTTTATATTTATTTCAAAATTCAATTATCATTCTTTTTTGTGTTTTTGCCGTTGCTGCTGCTGTTATTTAAGAGAAAGAGCATGAATAATAATAATCTGAGAGCATTTATTTTTAGGCAGCTCTTTTTCTTTTCTTTTCTTTTATCTTTTCTTCTTTTTTTCTTTTTCATTTATTTTTTCTTTGTCTTTTTGTCTTTCCTTTCTTTTCCACTCCTTTTCTCTCTCTGCCTTGCCTCACCTCTCCTTTCTTTTTATTTTTTTGGTCTTTTTTTCTTTTTTTCTTTTTTTTTCTTAAATCAAACATTTTGCTACATTCTTGCATGAAGGAAAATTTTGCAACCATTGCTTTAATAGCCTGTTTCAGTTGCAACTAATATTTTCTAAAGGCGGAAGAAGAAGAAAAAAGAACGGGAATGAAGTTATCATGATTTTTTTTCTTTCTTTTTCTTTTTACTTTGTTTTATGGACAGTGACAAGTTAGGGATATTAACCTGATTCTAACAAATGACTAACACATCTCCATTCTTTGCATGCTGGCTAGAAATTTACAGGATTGTCTCCCAGAAGCAAATTCGTGATCCTCATGACCATGATGACAGTCCAACAGCTGATGTTAAGGCTATTCACGTGGAACCAACTGTAAATGCCGAGAGTGTGCGCAGGCAATGTTGTCAACAGTAGGGAGAGACTCATCTCCTCTCGTCTGGAAGTTTGGGCACAGGGTTAGAATTTGGCAGTCATGTCCAGTGAAGAAATTACTGCACTTTTTTTTTTTTTTCTCTCTCTATCTCTCTCTCTCTCTCTCTCTCTCCATCTGTGTTGAGCACCTTATTTCACCTTGTATCTGCTTGGATTTACACTGTTGATGGACCAGATGTTGAGAGACTTCTCTAAGAGACGTACAGTGGCGCACCCTCACAGATATCCTTTATTGGAAAGCGGAAATTGTTGTTATTTTCTGTTGCTACAAGAAACTTAGGCTGTAAAAGCTGATTTTGTAAACCTTGACACACGTCTGTGGCTTTCTTTTGGCAAAATACACTTCTTGCTTTCATATCCACTTCTTGTGGTTTGCCTTGTTGCAAAAGAATGGGGTTAACGTGGCATGACCAGATCGCAAATGTACCAGTTGATTTTTCTTTTCTTTTCTCTTTTCTTTCCATGGGAAGAAAAGGATAAACGTCCAAAAAGATGAGAGCGGAAAGTGCTCTGCTGTAAAACGCATGAAGGTTTCAAGAATATAATGCTGTGGAATCTTATTGGTGTTGGTTTTCTCATTGAATTTCCTCTAGCATGGATTTAAAGTTTTTTTTTTTTTTTTTTTTTTTTTTTTTTCCCACCCTCCCATCCCAATACTAGCCATTGCAGAACCTTGAGGAAGTTGGTGTGCATTGCATAATGGAGACAGTATATATATATATAAAAGAAAGGCATTTGTTGAAATCGGTTTTAAGGGTAAGAAAGAGGCAAGGAAGGAGTTGTGTTGGGTTTTTGTTCATTGCTTTGCCGAGTCAGCCAAGCAGTTGATCTAGCATGCTTGTCTTCATTATAGAGCTAGCATGGCAATGGGCTTTTATATTTTAGATGAATATTACCCTATTATCTATATATATATTTTTGGGAGGCATGTAACAGATTTTTTGTGATTTGTGATGTGCAGCTAGCTTGGCTTGGAGTATTTTTGCATGGCATGACTACTGTGCTTTTATGTGTTTTATTCATACTTTGTGATATTTGGATTGGATTTTATATAAGAAAGGAGAAAAGTAGAATATTTTAGAATTAAAGGTAACTCCATATTTTGATGTAGACAATATATTGATATTATTATTGTTTTTTATTATTATTGTCCTCATCATCACCTAGATTGCTTGAGTTTCATAGTAATTGATGATAAAGAGGTCTTTACAGTATTAGCCAAAGATAAAGTATAGGCTTTCAGAAGAATATAGATATTCACAGTCCTCTTTTACCCATACACGTCTCCTAAAAAAGATCCGATCCTCCTTGCAGAAATCTACCGCATTGTGTCGAGGCAGCAACTCCCCGAAAGTGGTACCATGGAACCCCCAGGCGGCAACTCCTTCACTGTGGAGCCCACCGAACCGCCAAGTGGATCCTCCTCCAACAACTGCTGCGCCCGCTAACCCTCTCATCTCTCCATCTCTGCCCACAAACCCCTAGCTCCGTTCCGTCTGTTCCCATTGCCACCACCACCACCTCCCTCTCCTACACCACCTGTATTAAGTTTATATATATATATATCTTCACACATAAACAAACACACACACACACACACCCACACTCATCACTCAAAAGACAGTCACAGGTTTGGTGGATGACAGTGATTGGTGGCAGGGGTTTTAAGGTTGATTTTGAGGACATGGAAATATTGTTAGCTCACCCTTGATGCATTCTCTGTTTGTCCTGTTCTCCACCAATCTACTACATAATCAGCAATCTCTGCTGCTCCGGCCCAATGCTCCCAGGGTTTGCATTAGCATGAATGTGCTAAGAAGTAATACCATAGTCTGCCAAGGGAGAATTGGTAATAAGGACATGTGTGATTGATAAGAATATGTATTTACTCTTTCACTACAACAATTTTTTTTTTCTTTTTTTTTTTGTGTGTCCTGTTGAGAATAATAGGACTGAAAACATATGAAGTAGGTTTGCCATATCTCTCTGTTTTTTGTGCAGATGAACATAATGTGCACTTAGAAGTATGGATTGCTGTATCATTGTTACTATATTCATTATACTTTTTTCCATTTTTTCCTAGAGGTACCTTGACTTGTTATTTGTAAATTGTTTGATAGGAAGGTATTAAGGCTGCAAAACAACAGTTATGTTATCAGTTTGGGACGAACCATTAAAAAGTAATCATATTCACCTTCATTTATTTTTGTCATCATTATTATTTAGTTTCGTATTTGGCCACTTTTTATATTTTTTTAATTGCAAGCACCAACACACCTATACCATGTATTGTACTATGATATGCAGAAAGCTTTTTTGCTTTCAGTCTAGCCGTCTTAAGATGTTCGTAGTTCTGAAGTGAAGAAATGTGTCTTAATTCCATTTTTAAGGGACACTTCCCACCTTAAATTTCACTGGGTCGTCCTTTAGAGAAAAAAAGGAAAAAAAAAAAAAGATTGTAAAGTTTACCTCAGCCTGTCAGATGTTTCTCATTTTGAAGCCACGAAACCATATTCATATCATATAAACTGGTTGAAAGACACTTTAACAGAGAAAGAACTTTATTGGCTGCCTTATCTCCCTGTCAGTGATACCCAGTAGTGATTATTGCATTATGAAGTGTGAGATGTGATTGATTGGTGTGAAAAATACACCTCATATTAGCTTTAGGATAAGTAGGATTTTTTTTTTCCATTTAACTTGGGGGTAGATCCTTGTTGGTCCCTAAGTTTGGCAGGTGAACACCAGTGGGAGAGTATTACTCTTTATCATTATTATCATCATCTTGTTGTTATTATATTTATTTATTTATATTTTTTTATAGATTTTGATGACTTTTTTTCAATTTCATTTTGTCTCTTTTTCTACATGTGAACTATATTTTGAGTTGCTACAGCATGTTTTTAAAGTATATATAAAGTAGTTGATTTGGTAAGAAAGAGAGTATTTTAGCAGCCTGCAGACAGTCTTGCTGGGGTTTTATGTACTACAATGTTTGCCAAATATTTAGTTTGTCAAATTTATTATATATTAAATCTCAGTTTCTTGCCGCTAAGGCATGCTTTCTTGTACCTTGTGAAAAGCTTTTTTTTATACTCATTTTATGAATTCAACTCCATGCCTATTTTTTTATCATTGGTTGATTGTATCTAAATATTTGCTGAATATAAAGCTTTTTGTGCAGAATGTGTAATCTATGGGTGGGTAGGAGAATGTATAATCAAGTGAGTTAACCAAAGTGCTGCTCTCCATCTGGCGAGCATGGCACATGGTCAACTTGCAAGGTGAGAGAATATATATTACTGAATATACAATTTCTCAATGCAGCTTTTACCATGCATGTGGACACGTGATGACATCCAGGTATGTTTAGAACTACCCACCATCCACTGAGAATAGCAGTGTACAGGATTTCATGGCTTTATAGTGTAGTCCTCAGATGTGTGGAGGATCATTCAACACTCATCAGGTGAAAGTGCTGTGGTACTAACCCTTGCAAACATGTTCAAATTTTGCTCTATGGGATTTTGCAAACCGAGTGACATCATGGTGGCAAGAAATATTTCTGAATTTGAAGCAAAGTCAAAGATACTATCGTTACTGATATTTTTTATTTGTTTATTATTAAATGCATTAATAGATTTTCCTAAGGAAATTTTTTTTAGAAATAGGCATTGCATATGTTAGTGAAGAAGTAAGGGTATGTAGATTTAAAAAATCCACTTTTCACTGAGCAGAGCAATTCTTAATAATGAATAAACCAATAAATAACGAGTTCTACCATATTCTAAACCAGTTGACAGTGATTGACAATGATCTCAACTAAGATAAATGATGGATTTAATATCTAGCTTACTCTGTGAATGTTCTATAGATTGTACCCTTTTGAAGCTGAATGCATATGAAGGTTGTTAATAAATTTTCCTTTAAACATATTATGAGACAGGAGTTAACTTATAAAGTGTCTGTATGTAAGAAAAAGTGAGAGAAAAAAGTGTTAGGGGGAATAGATCGAAAAGGTCTATTTTAGTTCTTTTAAGAAGACAATCTCGGTGATTAATGGTGGTACTGAACGTGGACCAGAAATTTTCCTCTTAGTTGAGATGAATGTCAGTGTAGTGAAAGCCGTTGACAGCATTTGGCAGTGGAAGTAGATGTGTTGATGTCTTTCCTGTTGTAAGGGGTGCTTTTCTGAGAGGAGATATAGGATGCCTCTTGAGTTCTATCTGTAGTCTGTTTCCTATGGGTTAATATAATTATAATAATCATTTTGAATAAGTTGTATATGTGCTTGTTAATTTTTTTCTATCTTTCCTTGGTGATTCAAACCCAAATTGCTTATATGATTCAAGGTAAACAATTAAGAGCCACGTAATGAGTGTCTGAGAGACAAAGTCTCAATGAGATAGAAGTGAATCAGCTGAGGTCATTTATGTGGCTTGTAATGTTTTATCTTGTTCCATATAAATGTGATTGACATGTCAAGTGTAGCCCTGGTTTCACGCTTGCATAGGAAATTTTGTAAAGCAATGTAAAGAAGCACATTATTTGCAATAAAACATGCTAAATATTTACAAACTTTACTACCTTGCTTTTATTATCCCTACCTTTTTTTGGTCTTGCTTTTGCTTATCCTTTTGTTATAGACGCCCGGTGAATACAAACCAAGATGACAAATACATATTATTTGCTGGAAGTTCAGAATATATGAGGAATCTGTAATGATTTCCTCATTGATCAAGAGCATAGTCAATATATGTATATATAACACTAACAAAAATGTGTTCACCATTGCTTCAAATACTGAACTGCACTAAGAACGGTCAAAAAGTTATGACTAACTTCATATCTGACAAAGTTGGTGACAGCTATACGTTTAAAATGAATCAAGCATCAAGACGCATATTTCCCCATCTTGGGTTGCTTAAAGCTAAAACAATTACAGCGCCAACTACCTCCAAGCTCTTGTATGTAGCTATTTATGACATGACCCATCATTGTCTAAGGCAAACACCTACTGTTCATGGGGCCCTCAAGCAGAAACCTTCAAATTTGACTTGCTGAATCAACATGTGCATTTCAGTTTTGGAAATGCATACGATATATTGGCTGACCAGTTTTCCCATCATAAAGTACCTTTGGTGGGATAATGGTCTATCAAGGTAACGTACACCACATTGTTATTCCAGAGCTGTCAAAGTAGGCTATTCAAGTACCTATTCGAGATAAAAAATGAAAACTAGAACAAGAACATGTTCCTCAGAAGAGGGAATTTGTTGAAGGTTCGCTTGCAACCCATGTTGAGAGTACAATAGTGCATTCGGGCTTCTGCCACTGGATAACATCTTAGAAATCCCATTGAAGAGATACACGAGCGATTGCCATGCTTTTGTAGCAAGTTGAAGATCAGTGGATAAAGGCTAGAATCCTTCATTAATTAAGGAGGAAGGAGCCCTGCGAAATTCAAGGACGTTAAAAAGACCTTCCTTAAAGCTGCAGACCGCCGATCTTGGGCTCGCACATGTTAAAAGTCAAAGACAGTCAGCATAAGTCGGCATGAATTCCGAAGAACTCATCCCAGTTCTTGGACCCGGAAGCCCAGCGTCACCTGGATAAAAAAACTAATCACTGGGCGTTATTTTTTAAGACGGGGGAGGGAGTCTTGAATTTTTAAGAAAAAAAAATAGAAAAAAAACTGGTCCCATACAGAGGAGATCATCCGCATTTCCCAAAATCGCTTGAAATAGAGCCTTAATTAGGCCTAAAATAATCCGGGATTCAACAACAAATCTGTATTGAGAAGAAAACAGGCAAGTTAAAAAAAAAAAAAAAAAAAACGCGAACTTAACACCACGAACAACCATCCAGATGACATCCACCGTCTTGTACAACCGGGTCGGTTCTCTGTACACAATGACCTATTTCTCCTTTGGAAGGCCTAAGGAGTTGCCTGAATGGAATGCGGCAGTAGCTTTGGTCACCGCACAAGGTGAAAGATCTGCAACGAATAGCCATTATTGCAAAGAGTATTCATCAAGGAGATATCAAATGAAGTTGGCAAATGGGGCGTTCCTAATTATGTTCATTACGTGGCACTCCGCGCCTCTAATCAGCTGTAACGTGGCCAAAGGTCTTCTAATATTTGACCGCCTGAAGGGATCAAATCGCCGACAGAGAGTAGGAGGGGCCGGGAGAGGCACGCCCTACATCCCTCCCTCAATACGCCCGTGTGACCGTGTCTGAAAACTACTGTGATATTTTGAAAGATAGTGAAAGATAACACAGGGAGCCACCGCAATGTCTGATACATAATACAAGTGATAAAGCTGAGACGGTCGAAAAGAAATAAACGATATAGGTATTAAGATGATGAAAAAATAGAACGATAACAGTAATTCTATAAAAGAATCTTTGAGAAGATATCATTCAAATATATGCTCAAACTCGTAAG